GTACAGACGACGTTTATTGTGGGGCCAAAACGGCTTCAAATAGATTTTACGACCCTACAAGCGAACGAACGATGTGGCAGGCTCGTACAACGTGTGCCCCTACTACGTGGGTGGTTCGGTGTACAGACGACGTTTCTCATGGCCGGCTTCGAATTGATGTAAAGAACCATAGGAAGACCCTACTTCAACTGGTGAGATAAATCTCCGATAGAGAAGATGATCTTGTACGTTGTTATCATCCGGGGAGCAAAAAGGGGTGTTCTCCACGGGGAGAGGTGGAGGGCATCTGTTCCTGCACTTCTCGTCGTTACAGGTCACGACCTTGGCGAAGATTAGGTGCGACAACTTAGGGTATCCCCTCATCGTCTTAGCAAGCAGCAACCATCTAGACTGTCGCAGATGGGTTACCACCAAACCGTTGGGTACCGCCTTTTTTCTCCTCCCGTACATGAGTTTGAAACTGAAGGCATTCTAGTAAAAACGTGCTAATATTCTTCGCGAGCTGTCCTTCGGTCAAAGGGAGCCCGTGGGTAGAAGACGTGTCCGTGTGCCTTACCCGCCACAGGCTGACGTTTCCATTGGTCAGTCGACAAGAGCGGCCTATGCCAACCAGGGAAACACACAGGTGCACGCACGGCTTCTAGACGGTGACTTACCGTCATTTGAGACTCCATGCTGGGTCCGAAAAGGATGGGGACTTCGTTCTTGGAGGTACAGTAGTCCATGCTGGCAAAAAAAAAGAAGGGAGGAGAAAGGGCGGGAGATCGAGCAAAGACACGCAGACAAGACGGCAGGAGAGAATGCTCGAGACGGAGTGGGAGACAGACTTCGCTTGCACTAGTGCACAACAGAAGCGGTGCATTCATTTGTCATTCAATTCAACGAACTACCGTTATGGTTCTTGTGATAATGGGGTTTGCAAACCTCAGTTGTTTCGGCAGCACTGCTGCTATTTTCATTAGCGCTTCCTTCGTGCGGTCTAACGGTAGGCCGCACTGAACATGGTCAAGATATTCGCAGTGGGCCAAAGACAAGAACCCAGCTATGCTACAACGAAACTTGAACGCACAACGATAGCGTCCTTCGTATCTTATGCGTTCCTCGATTTCCAGTGGCGGGTATGGTGTTCATTCCTACAAGAGGACTACCACCCTACCTACTGCAGTAGGTCGCCCCCCCCACAAGAGTACTTTATACGAAAAGTTCCTCGTGGTACTCTGGTGTACTCGTTCTACATGTGTTCTGCGGGTCCTCTGGTCTTTCGGGTATGGGTGGATTAGAGACTGCAGGGCCCAGCCCCTGGTGCTTGAGTCTTCCTCCCTCCCCTCGGTTCTGTTGGGTTAAGGTGAGTTGGTTGGGTGGAACCTGAGTAGTACAGAGAGGAAACAGGGAAACATGTTAAACCTTTCACTTGCTGGCTCGTGACTGAAACCGTTCGAATACTGTCCTTTCAGCGACTTCGTGAAGGTATCGGGTGTGCTCCATTTGCACCCGAACCGTTTCACTCACAAGCCAACAAGTGAACGGTTTTAAAGGTTTCCCTGTTTCCTCTCTGTACGGTGTACCACTACACTCTATCTCCACCACCCAAACCCACGCACGAACCACCTCAAACCAACCGCCGTACCCACACACCCCAACCCTTAACCCGAGCAGCAACACTGACGCACCAGGGACGGGGCCCTCAGTCTCTGACTCACCCATACCCAAAAGGCCGGAGGAACCGCTATCTAGATCGAGTACACCAAACATACTTGTACTCACGCAAACGCACATGCAACGTAAAATTTGTCAAAAAAAACTCTTGCCGGGCACATGTGAGACACCCGAAATTTTCGCCCAGGCAGAAAGCCGGCAAAGGGGGTGAGAGGGGTGCGGTTGGGGCGGCAGATAGGATATATTTGATCCTAGTACTACTGCTGTGGCAGTCAGTGACACCAGTCGAGGGTGCCAGTGATCCTTCCGGAGTGAGCTCAAGAGAACACGGTGTCATCAAGGGGTGATGCAAGATGATAAATAAAAGCAGGCAGCAGGACCAGCCCACAGCTGGCTGCCAGCTGTCACGTTGTCCAAACTCCAACAGCTCACACAGTTGACGTGTTTTTGACTCGAAGAGCCCACCGAACCTCAACCAACCAAACAGTCTCATGTCTATCTGACTGCCTGCTCGCCTCCTTGTCTGCCTGTCCATCTCTCTGTTTGATTGAATGGCTGTCTCTCAAACAAAAATCATATTTCTAGTTGTCTTAGCCTCACCTATCTATCCATCTATCTGTCTCTCTGACTTACCCACATATCTGGTAAGCTGGGCTGTCCATCCCATCAAAATCAAACAATCCGCCTGTCTCAACAGTGGAGTACTCACGGGTCTTCGATGAACTCGCCGTTGCTTTCCTCGAACAGCACCGAGCCGTCTTCCGGGTTCGCGGCCACCGTCCACCCTCGATCGTTCGCAAGACGTAGGTAAACCTTATTGTTGTTGGAGAGTACCTGTTCATCATTTCGGTTCAAGTATAGGGTTAGACGTCCGTCGGGTTCCGCTTATCTGTCCCGATCATTGTTCTTGAGTGAGCGGAGCCAGAGCCGGATCCGGATATTCCCAGGGCGAACGCGAGGCACCTGCTTCAGCGTTGTCGCTATCGCACGGGCTGTAGGTGATGGCCTCGTCTTCTCGGCGTATGGATTCCGCAGCTTGAACCGGTTCTGGGACCGGGACTCCGAAACTGGGCCCTTTTGACAGGGCGTGGGTGGCTGAACTGAGCATTCCAGAACTTGGAACGAAGCCCTTCCCCAGTAGAACGTGACGGTTTTAAGCCGGACCTTTTCGTTCCAGTCGACGTGACTTCAGGGCTTGGACTGAGCATGTCACGGGGGAGAAGTGGGTCTTCACTTCAAAACATGGGCCCTATCCGACTTGAACTTGGTCTTGAGAGCTTTGCTTGGTGTGGGTGGTGCGGGTTTGAACCGGGGACTTCGCAGCTAAAGCTGTGGGCCATATTGCTTAAATTGAAAGCTCCTTCATTGGAACTGGCCCTCCAGGGCTCGGAGCCACCCCCTCCCGGGTTGGTGATGGACAGGTTGATGGGGTCATCATGCACTAGCCTTGGCAAGCACAGGGCACGGGGTAACAACAGAGCAGAGCGGCAGAGAAAAAACGAAAACAGCACTGAAAAGCAAATCACCTGTACGACCTCTACGACCTCCCCGGGGAACAGTCCTTCCCCGGTCCGCGGGGCCTCTTCCTCCGGGAACGAGCGTATCCACTGCGGCTGCACGTTGAGCACCATGCGGTAGAAGAACTGCCCCTTGAGCCTGGCTCGACGAAAACACCACACACAAGAAAGGAGAACAGAAACGATGCGGGTTGACTTGGCGGACATGGTCGGACACGGCGCCGTATGTTGCAACGCGGTGAGAGTGTTTGGGAGGGGGGTAGCTAGTTTTGCCCCGCCCCCACCCTTTCCAAGCACGTGCTCCCTGCTGGAGTCGTCGGCATGATTCTCCTCGTGGCGTGTGGTTGCGCGACAGCTTCAAGGAGGAGGAGGAGAAGGCAGAGTTGTCCCTCTGTCCATCCAAAAAAAGGTCGCTCTCATCCGCCGGTTTTCGTGCATGCAATACGTGACATTACGCTATCTACACCAGCAAAAATATTCACGGGCCTTCTGTACTCTGAATCGAGTACACTCTTGAACCTGCTCCGTACGGAAGAGGGAGGGAGGGGCGGTCAATATAGACAGGTTATGGTCGTCGAAATGCGTTCTGTACAGACGAGGTATTGACACCGATGCGGCTATCGTTAGCCCCCGACCGCATTACCTCCTCCTGGTCCTTCTACTCCTCCTCCTCTCTTTCCTCTCACCCCTGGCTATCGTAGTTATCCTCAGGAACGTTGTACCGCTTGATGAACAATCCGTGGATGACGGCGTTGATGGCGGTGATCCACTTCTCCATGCTGTCCTCGTCCTTGGCAAGGAGAATCCAGTTCTCCTGTGACACCATCCAACGCCCCAAAACAACGGATGAAACAAGAAACAAGGCAGACAAGACACGAGCGATAGACACCGTGAACAGCATCGTGCTTATTGATCAAGTAAAAAAACAAAACTACGAACTTGTTCCGAAGCCGGTCGAGTCTCCGTATGACAGCAACATCGTCAACATGATGTGTATCCATGTGCATGCATGTACATTTCGTGGCAACATTCTTTCGTGGCTTGTCTGGTACGTATTAGACCCTTACACAGAAGAAGCTGCGGGGGGGAGTTTGTTCGTGCTTGAACAATAACGGTAAAGAGAGCATGGCACTGGATAGAGATCTGAACGTTTTGCAAGTAAAAGAAAATTCCAACAATAACGACAGCGACGGCGACAGCAACAGCCCATCGAAACCAAAACGTCACGAAGCACTGGGTTCCCGTGATCTGTACCCTCTCGCCCGCTCACCTCGCCCGTGCGCACGGAGAAGCAGTTGGGCACGTTCGTGTAAGACGCGGTGGAATCGGGCTGGAGCTCCATGCGCTGCCAAAGTGTAGCAAGGAAAGCACGCACGACTTCCAATGTAACGCTTGGAATACACATGTACGCGCTTGAAAATGTATTTCGTCATTTTTGAAGCACCGGAGCTTCAGGGACGCGGCCATGCCGCCAGTGGGCTATAGCGGGAAAAAAGTACGAAAGAAAGAGAATGAAGGTGGACCGTGTGCGTCGTGTGCGTGTGTGACACACTCAAGGAGTGCTCGTAGTGTTGCCATATTTGTAGCCGCACATTAACCGCCAACGAAACCGGTAGCACGCGGGAGAGAGAGGGCGGGAGGCGGTCCTTTCTGCAAGAGGGAGTAGAAACAGCGTCAACGTAGAAGTCAACTTGCAGCTATTAGCAAGAAGAGACCCCCCCTCCCCTCCCCCGCCCCGCCCCCCTCTCTCTCTGTCTGTCTCTCTCTTTCTGTTGTTGCGGCCGACGCAAGGAGCCGTGCGAATAAACAACCACCCAAGGTTCGCACACGCTGTCACGTACGTGAGAAAGCCTTAACCTGAGTCGCAGCCGTTCCAACACCACGTGCTACGTGACAAGTCTTAACCTGAGTCGCAGCCATTCAAACACCACCGTGCTACAATAGTGCGCCTACCACCTTGTCGCTTGGCCCTTCATCTCAGCCCAACGTGACCTGCAACAACACTCTTTGCACATCATCGTTTTCAATGTAACATCAGCCAAACATCACACCACCCTAACTTCTCACACACTCACTCGCGCCTGCAAGTCTTCCCGCCGCCAGTTCTGCTTCAACACCCCTACCACTGGTGCACACGCCCTCAATTTTCTTCTTGCCTTGTTTTTGCGTGTACCGACGAGAGACTTGGTGTCGTAGAAGGTCAGGATGTCGTCCTCGAGTCGGAAGTAGCGGGATTTCCACATGGTTGAGAGGACTTGCTTCATCAGGTGGCCCTGCCGATCGGGAAATGCATGGCGTACGAGAGAAGAGACATGAACATGATGGAGAAGCACAAAACATAAAAAAAACAAAAGAGTGTTACCATACGATCGAAAACGAACAACAAAAAAAGTCATCAGGATACATACCCAAATGAAGAGAAGAGGGACAGGAAAACGAAGGGATCGGAGCCCATAAACGGAAGCAGGCCGCAGGACAGGTGAAGGGGGCAACAGTATTTATTTTTCCCTCATTCAACTGGTTACTTTCCAAGAAGGCCGGTCGTGCTGCTTGCCGTCTTTGCACAAAACTAGCCGATCACTCACCTCGGTTCCCTGTCGTCGCCCACAAGCCAGTGACACAAAAAACAACCAGTGACATCAGCAAGGACGAACGAGCACAACAAAAACCACAAAACACACACACGCCTGAACTGGGTGCGCGCGACCATTCAAAGCAGACGAGCTGCACTCACCTCCGTGACGCCGCCTTCCAATGCCTCCTTGAACCTGCTTTCATAGGACTGCTGCTTCTCTTCTGAGTGTCCCCCAATTGCGGTGATGTCGTCGTAGTTGGCCTTCTTGTCTTGTCTGGGTGATACGCTGGATGGAGCCGCAACCAAGGAAAGGATTGAGGACAAACACACACACACACACGCACCCGCGAGCGAGCGTCGAAAAAAAAAAAAAAACGGGTCAATAGTAAGTTGAAACAGGCAGAGATCAGCTCTCTCGCGTACCTGGCCTACGTATAACGTCTACACGTGATCCGTGGCGCATGCTCATGGCATAGAATACTTGAATGCTTGTTGTGTGGCAAAAACCCATGTCACCAAAATTGGCAACACACCATGCATCTGAAGAGAGGCGGCCCGCCATCATTGAACCACACCAGAGAGAGAGAGAGAGAGCGAAACAGAGAGAGAAGGAAAGAGAAAGCGAAGCAGAGAGAGAAGGAGAGATACAGGCACAAATGATACACCGACAGACAGACCGGCTTCTTCCTCCTGATCCGTTCCCTCGTGCGTCGCCTTTCTACCATTCACAAACATTCTGTAAGGCATCACCGCACGCCAGTCTAATCTGCTTGCCTCATGTCCGGCGCGCCGACTTTGCCCAGAAGGTTTCTCACGGACTGCGAGGGCTGCTTCTTCATGAAGGACCCGCGCTGCCCCCGGGCGGGAGCCCCGGAAGGGGGCAGAGCACCGGACTCGTCGCCGTCCTCGCTCATCTCGGACGGATCGAGCGACATTCTCTGCTTTTCGCGCGGACGAACGAATGCATGACGAGAGCTAGCCGTCAGGTTGTGGCCACGGCGAACCGATCGAGCGACATTCTCTGCTTCTTGCGTGGACGAATGATTGCATGACGAGACGTAGGCGTCAGGTTGTGGCCACGACGAACGAATCCACGACAAGAGGCAAGGCGTCAGGTTGTTCCGTCCGCCACGATTCTACAGTGCGTCGTTGTTGTCCAGCGTGCAGGGGGCGGTTCAGGGCCGGCGGGTATAGGGGCAAGCGGCGGCTACGTTGCCATGACCGCTCTGTGTTGAAATCGGCGCAGGTACGCGTGAGCATGTCTTGTTGGCTTGCGACCGCAGTCACTGACCGCAGCGACCTCTGGGGGGTGGTAAGAGTAGGGGGCGCACAGGTTTCCGTTCGAAGAGCGATCATTTCGAGCGGCAGGCAAAATCCCGTCGCAATGACCGTACACACACGCGCGCACAGCACCGGTGGGGTCGATTAAGGAGAGGGAAGGAAGGGATACAGCAGCATCATAGCAACATGCAATGGGGAGAAGCTAGCCACGGTTTCCGAGTTTCAAGTACGGGTGGTGGTGCAAATGCCAGCCAGTTTCGACCAGGGGACTGGAAAGGCGCAAGCGCGGCACAAAAGCCAGCGAGTCTCCCATGGCATTTTTGGGTGCGAACAAGTCTGTCGTGGGCGCACACGACACACTTCCAGGAGCGAAAATTGGAAGGGACAGGATATGCCAGTGCTAAGACAGCACGCACAAAAGGCACCGCCAGATCCTGTGCCGGTTGTGCGCCTTTTTTCGGCGTGCACGAGCAAGCGGGATGCGATTCACCAAGGCAGCAACTGCAAGTGACGGCAGCATGACAAACCAACGTCAGAAGCAACACCAGCGGTGAAGGTACCTTCGTCTTCTCCTCCAGTTCTGCGTCAGCCTTCGCTTTCGCTTCAGTCTCCGCCTTGACTTTCGCTTCCGCCTCAGCCTTAGCTTTCGCTTCCGCCTCAGCCTTAGCTTTCGCTTCCGCCTCAGCCTTAGCTTTCGCTTCCGCCTCCGCCTCAGCCTTAGCTTTCGCTTCCGCCTCCGCCTCAGCCTTAGCTTTCGCTTCCGCCTCCGCCTTTGCCTTCGCTTCCGCCTCCGCCTTAATTCTCGCTTCCGCCTCGGCCTTGTACTTCGCTTCCACCTCAGCCTTAACTCTCGCTTCCATCTCAGCCATAGCCCTTGCTTGTTCTTCTGCCGCCTTAGCCGCCGCCGCCGCTGCCGCTGCCGCCGCCGCCTCTGCATCCCGCTTGGCCTGAAGCTCAGCTGCCTCCGCCGCTTCCTTAGCAGCCTTTTCCCGGGCGGCCTCCTCGGCTCTCCGCTTCTCCTCCGCCGCCGCTTCCGCTGCCGCCTTAGCCGCTGCCGCCGCCGCTGCCGCCGCCGCCGCAGCTTCCGCTTCCGCCTTCTCCCGCGCCACGTTCTCCTCGTCGCTCGCTTCGGCAACCAGCGCCTTGAACGAGCTAATGCAGTACACGTGCATCGGTAAGAAGCAAATAAAACACGACACGTTATTGTGGTTAACACCACAAGCCAGCAAGTGAGCGCGCGAGAGAGTCTGTAACTGCGCAGGCAAGACAAAAACCCAAACAACCCCAACGCCAAAACAGCTCCTACTAATTAACTCACCAGGCACCACGATACAGGACAGAAGCGCACGCCCAGACGGATCCAACACCTATCTATCCCATCCGCGTCGCCCCCCCTCCCC